GGTGCATTGGAAATTTGTGAGCACTACAAACAACTACAAACGATTTTAGACAGGAATCCGAGCTCATTCTGGCTATAGATTTCAATCAGTTCCTACTTCAGCTCAAAAAATCGATTGCATGCTCGTTTGATTTCCGATCGCGACAATCCCAAAACTACAATCAACTACAAACGATTGCTGAGAAGCCAATGTCACTCCGGCTGTAACTATGAAATAGTTCCTAACTCTATTTTAAAAACGGATTGAACGCTCATTTCAGTTAGGATTGGACAAATTCCTAAACTACAATCAAGTATGAACGTTGGTTTATAAGGTTGTTCATTTTTTTCGATTTTTTCCACTGTTAGAAACAACTACAAACAAATCCTTCGACATATCTCAATTCTCTACCACCCTTTTTCCTCGGTGTATTGAAAATCTGTGAGTACTACAATCAACTACAAACCATTTTAGACAGGAATCCGATGTAATTTTGGCTATAGCTATTCAACAGTTCCAACTTGTGTTCCGACAATCGATTGGACGCTCATTTGAGTTTGGATTGGAAAAATTCCGAAACTACAATCAAGTATGGACGTTGGTTCATAAGAATCTTCTTTTCTTTTTAATTTTTTTCACTTCCAACAACAACTACAAACGAATTCTTTTACATATCTCAACTGTCTGCCGCCCCGTTTTCTTGGTGCACTGGAAATTTGTGAGCACTACAAACAACTACAAACGATTTTAGACAGGAATCAGAGCTCATTCTAACTATAGCTTTCAATCAGTTTCTACTTGGGCTCCAAAAATCGATTGCATGTTCGTTTGATTCCCGATTGCGAAAATTCGAAAACTACAATCAACTACAAACGATTGCAGATAAGAATCCCCCGTCATTTCAAATACAACTATGAAATAGTTCCTAACTGATTTAAAAAAATCGATTGAACATTTATGACGATTCCGATCGTAAAATTCCCAGGACTAAAATCAACTACAAACGATTGCAGACGAGAATCCAATGTCATTCCAGCTGTAACTATGAAATAGTTCCTAACTGTATTTCAAAAACGGATTGAACGCTCATTTCAGTTCGGATTGGAAAAATTCCAATACTACAATTAAATAGTAATTAAGTATGAACGTTGGTTCATAAAGATCTTCTTTTCTTATTGATTTTTTTCACTGTTAGAAACACCCACAAACGAATTCTTCTACATATCTCAACTCTACATCACCCTTTTTTCTCGGTGCATTGAAAATCTGGGAGTACTACAAACAACTACAAACCATTTTAGACAGGAATCCGAGCTCATTTTGGCTGTAGTTGTTAACAAGTTCCTACTTGGGCTCCTAAAATCGACCAGATGCTCATTTGAGTTCGGATTGGGAAAATTCCAAAACTACAATCAAGTATGAACCTTGGTTTATAAGGATCGTCATTTTTTTCACTGTTAGAAACAACTACAAACAAATCCGTCTACATATATCAACTGTCTGCCACCCCGTTTTCTCGGTGCATTGGAAATTTGTGAGCACTACAACCAACTACAAACGATTTTAGACAGGAATNTGAGTTCGGATTGGGAAAATTCCAAAACTACAATCAAGTATGAACCTTGGTTTATAAGGATCGTCATTTTTTTCACTGTTAGAAACAACTACAAACAAATCCGTCTACATATATCAACTGTCTGCCACCCCATTTTCTCGGTGCATTGGAAATTTGTGATCACTAAAACCAACTACAAACGATTTTAGACAGGAATCCGAGCTCATTCTGGCTATAGCTTTCAATCAGTTCCTACTTGGTCTCCAAAAATCGATTGGACGCTCCCTTGATTTCCGATTGCGAAAATTCCAAAACTACAATCGATTTCAGATAGAATCCCACGTCATTTCAAATACAACTATGAAATAGTTCCTAACTGTTAAAAAAAAATCGATTGAACTTTTATTACGATCCCGATCGTGAAATTTCTAGAACTGCAATCAACTACAAACGGTTGCAGACGAGAATCCAATGTCACTCCAGCTCTAGCTATGGAATAGCTCCTAACTGTATTTCAAAAACCAATTGGACGCTCAATTTCAAACTACAAACAAGAAAAACGTTACTACTATCACGAGTAGCTCAAAATCTATCAATTATGAAATTTTGTTTCAAATCCAAGCAAGTGGGGTGCCCACTTCACGGAGCTGGATCATACTCATGTGGAGTTCGTCGATTAATACTGGAATATCCAACAATTTCAGGACCATTTCTGCCAATTGAGGATGAGCAGGCTCAGCGAATCTCCAGAATAGGGAACATGATTGTATATTTTTCTTTGACAAATTGTTGAATACGTCGCTGTTGCTTTTGTAGCTATCATAACTCTCCAACCCTTTCTCTTCCAACATGTCCAACAAGAATTGCGGCATCTTCCTCATTCGACAACGATTTTCCACAAAAAGGTGTCCACGATATTTGTTATCGAAGAAGTTTGCAGCAAGGATCTCTGGGGATAATATTTCCTCAATACGACTATCATCAACTCCATAAGATTCTTCGAATTTAAGCCACTCTTCCGCAATGTCAGCTAGATGGTTTTGTGGGCCTTGACATTTTTGGGATAGCAACGTCAGAGCTTTCATTTGGTCCAGAGACTGCCTCACATCCTGCTCAA